GTCCGCTGCAGTCGCCGTGATACTACTCCGATATCTGAGAAGAATAAGGTGAGCTGTCCTGAAAATCGGTGACCGAAACTGAGAACCCCTGCAGCACGGGCCTGTGTGTTGCAAGGAGTCGGGGTCGGATAATTCAACCGTGCAAGGGTTCCTGCGGTGATTTGATCGATTCGAATCTACTGATACCGCTCCCGCCAGGGCCGTGGTAGATCTTGCTTTTAAATGATCAACATCTTCTTCGTTGAGAACTTGAGCACGGAGTAAGAGCAGCCAATATATTGAACCCTGGTTAAGTCAGCACTCATGGACTACGTTCTTCCGTTCCGAATGCGGAGAAACTGGCTCGACTGGAGACCATTCGAGGAACAGATGCAGAAGAAAAAATATCAACGGCCGACCCCACTGACTGAAATCCTTTAGTTCCGAGAAGACGTTGGAGATCTCCGTCTTGAAACCTTGTGAAGAATCATGATGACTACGCTAGCCCTGGTCTTCTCGAAAATCTCAATCCCCCTTCCCTTCTTCACGCCTGTCGGGGAAATAGGGCAGCACCTTGCGTCTGTTCTTTGCTCTGAGTCCTAACAGGAGGAATGCACTAGCTGGGTGGCTGCCTATGGCACATCTGTGCGACCGTCTGCGTCGATAGCGAACAGAATACGGTCAGCTGTTTCATTTCAGTATCCCTGGCGAGTCGATCCCGATCTCCTCGTTCAGCTTTATCGTTGTTAGCCATGGATCCTCCCGACTCTCGGGCTATCAAGAACATTCATTGCCAATATTATAGCGCAACATGCTTCTGGTGTACTGGTGTTCTACGTCAACAGAACGTCTATGCCTCAAATCCGACCGTGCCTACACTGAAACCCAGCGGATACTGGCAGTGGCATTTGTCTAGAGCTCCGCGATCACGGTGAACCAAGCCATTCCTTAACTCTACTGCGAGTCTCCAGACTTTGACCCATGGCCATGTCGCCGTGACGCCGTGACTGATTCCAGTACTTTCCTTGGACCCGATCCGCGGTTGCGGATGATAGTTATGATCAACGTAGATCGGAACTTAAAATTCACGCAGATGCCCTGAACTGCGTCAGTGATGGGATGTCTCCGTCTTGATGCAGGTACATCGTTGACTTAGTCATGGAAGACAGTTTCTCTTTGGGACCGCTGTTGTCTCTTGGACTACAATTGCTACAACCATGAAGCCACTCGAATAATCAATTGGTTCCTGCCAAACCACCAAGAAGGGAGGGTGGGAGAAGTGCATCAGAAACAAATTGGGTGTGGGAAGGGGGAAATTATTATCACCAATATCAACGAATGAACAGATGCAGGATCACTACCGAAAGTCGCACAATCAGGGTCCATTCGTGCCTTAACTGCTGCGCGACCTCCCGTGCTTCGTTCTATTCCTGATCGATCGAATTAGCTACAAGAAAGGGCCTATCGCCATCATTGGCAGCCATTGCTTCTTGAGGGCGGAGTGGAGTTGGCCTCCAGGGGCGGCGATCCGACCTCTTGAGCACGCCCCTTGCGTCGCAGTTCGTTCGAGTGCGAAAGCCCCCAATCAATGAGCCCACACAAGACTCTCTCGATCCAACCATCGCCTCCCCAATATCGCCATTTTGAGTTGCATTGCATTGCATTGCATTGGCGTTGGGTACCCATTCCTGATCCTGACCTATCGCGGCGTGCAAAGGCTATACCATCTGCGATTTCCGTATCAGCAGCACCAACCCCACGTACTCGTGCACGATACCGCCCATCCTTCCACTTTGGTCCAACGGCGGTGGCTTTCTGGGGAAGATGGGCCCTGCGACGAGGTGGGTGAGACCAGACCCGGGCTTTTCCAGTCATCCATTCTCAACTACGTCATTTTATTGATTCTCCCAGGCGCTGTACTACCGCCGCACTATTGGCTGGAAATCAAGATTCATGGTAAGAACTTCAGTTACTCTTACTCCATGGTTATTGCCTTTGGCATTCAAATACTTGTACTCACTAAGCTAATGAAGTGCCAGGGGAATCCCAAACTGACTTTTGAGGCCCTAAGTTTGTACCTGATCGAACGCCGCCAGAAACTTCTCAACCTCAAGAGTGACAAAGGGAACAAACCCTATAACCTAGAAGAGAGAATGGGGCTGTTAAGATTCAAGGAACCTGAACCTAGTTAGTCAAATCATCCCCGACCACCCACTCTGAGCGCGTACTCCTGCCTAGTCTGTTATTCCTTCTCCGACTCCGACCACACAATTATCCTTCTGACTGGAATGTGCAGCAGACAGTCCACCTGAAACCTAGCCATCCATATCACCCGTCACGGTTCATGCGCGCACATCACCTCCCACCGACCGACTTCTCTTCTCAGCTCAATCAATCTACTGCGAAACAAAAATCCCACCTACATACATAACATACTTACAACAACCCGACCATACCTACCACCTCTCCAAGACCAACAACTTTTCAGTATACTTTGTGCCCCCAAGCCCACCGGCGCACAAACCTTACCCAGACATGGGGATCCTGATTTCCGAACCATCTAGTCCCGCTCATCAGTGCACGGACTTCGAACTTGACGCAGTGGAGATCATTGTAGATCCGTAGATCCCTTTAGGGTCGGAGATCGTCTGGCCCTTTCTCACATTCATTGTATAGTAGGTAAGTCCTGTACATCCCGACCCATACGTGCATGTCCAGGATGGGAACGGTGGGGAGTGCGAAGATTCTAGCGGTCGCAAACGAGACGACTGCCATGAACAACAAGCTTGTTTCCTTGTTTTTGACTTTTCTTGCTTTCTGGAAGCCCAGTCGGTGTGCTGTTCCTGTAGGATTCACTTAGTGTGTACAGTGAATTTTTCTCGCCACGAGCGCAACTGAGTCAGCAGCGTTCGATTTGAACTAAGTGGGGGGTCCCAGCCTGGTTTGCCGTATTTTTTTGTTCTACTTGTTGGGCTTTGCCCCTATCCCATTGGGATCATCGGGATGGTGTGTCACTGCAGTTGGAGCGCAGGTGTAGTCGCTGAGTCTTGGGAAAGATGGTGAGTTTGCTAGAGGTAGGGAAGGACTTGGGAGGTTACTTACTGCTTTCCTGTTGTTTGTTTATTTCGACTTCAATGTCACGGTGTACTGGTTTGGAATAAGGACAACCTGAGGCATTCACTACTATGTAGCCTACCAGAAGTAGATCTTGGCCTGATGGAAGATGGGGCCGGTGGTGATGTACTGTATCGAGACTTCATCGTAGCACTGTACTGTACCTTTTTGCAGGCTCGCATGTTCTTTCCTGGCTTCCCAGGATCTATGTCTGTCATTTGTGGATAACCGGAGTCGTGACAACTACTGAATATAATGCACTTAACACATATAAATATGTATGTATGTGTGTGAGGGTAGATACGTATATATCATTCCCAGGTCCAGTCCAGCACAACTTACCCCTACAAGTACAGTACAATACACCCTAATCTCGGTGGACTTGTTCTTTGTTACCTGAAAGGAGCGTGTACATTCTACTTGCCCAGTTGTTCTAACTGGCTCTCCTGACATGGTTGATACAGATCTGTTTCAATTTGTCGGTGTCGTGGTCGAGGCTTCTCTGGGCTGATGATGCTAATGCCGAAAATATATTTGCCGTTCTCCCGGCAAGAACCCAGCCTCATAGGCTGTTTCGCGGTATGCTTCTCCATCATGAGTAAACTACGCTCGTTCTATGGCGCGAATTCCTTTCCTCTCTTTTGTTTCCTGCGTAGTGACAACTCTTGACTTATGGTACATGGGATATGGTACTCGGTCTCCTGTTTGAAAGTACGCACCGACTGGCTCATCTGTTCATGGGTGATAACATGTGGGGAATGTAGACGGGATCATATGCTGTATATACTGGGGCTTTATGGTGTTATACTGAGACTGGGGTTTGGTGGGTGATTATCGAGAGCCGCGAGTTCGGTGGGAGTTATGTTCTACCCAGAGGACGACTGGTTGATTGGCTTCGAGTCTACTGTGCTGCACCTAATTTTATCTCTCAACCAATATCTAGGTCGCTACCGAGGCCTACCTACTCCTCATCCATACCGGTCTACAAAGAGCCTCGAGGCTAGCAGCCCCGAACTACAGATACAATAGAAGTCCAACTTTCAGACGTATCCGTCATCATTCACTGAAAGAACAATGGTCTCAAGAAGTAAGGGTAGAAGTAGAAGAAGAAGAAGTGAAGATAAAGTAGAACCAACGACCTGTCTCAGCCCCCGACTATCGTCTTCGTCCACTAGACAGACACAGTCCACCATGTTGACAGGTCGAAGGATCGAGATCAAAGCAATGAAGTTGAAAACCAAGATGAAAAACCATAACAAAAACACAAGGGGGACAACCCTGTACAAAAAGTGGTATCAAGTCTGTAAAGTAGGATTACCCTGTTCCCCAACGAAGAAGTGACAAACAGAGAAAGAAAAAAAAGTCGACCACGAGATGAGAAAGAAAAATCGCGATAGTCAATGCCCCGCCCTCCTCCTTCCCAGAGTTAGTACATAGTAGTCGCCAAGCACAAAACCAGATAACAAGAAGCAACAAAGCAAGAGGAGAAGTAACAAAAAAGACGCAGGGTAGTGATGGAAATCATGATTCAAAAAGGAAATAAAACGCCAACCAATCTCTTTTTACCGTGAGTTCCCAATGTCGTATGCACAAGTCTCTCAATGGAGTTAGGTGTGTAAGTAAGGTGAGAAGATGATGGGGTATGAAGGTGATGAAGAGTAGAAGTATGATGAATCTGAACTCGAAGACCTCGACGTGGGAGTGGTTGTGATGTGGTGAGGGAAATTGTGGGGTTCGCAGATAGATATCGGTATCGTCCAGATGTCCATTCATTGCGAGGTCTGAGAGTTAAAAAGTAGAATGGGGGTGAAAAAAGAGTTCCGAGGATAAGTGCTGTACACTTATTCGCTCGTAAAGAAGAAATAAGAACTGAAACAAGTACAGAGTTGCGCTCCAAGGGGCCGCAACTATTTCATGCCATTTTGCATCATGTTCTGTTGCTGTTGTTGTTGCATCACTTGAGCTTGCACGGCAGCCACCTGAGAAGCACGTTGCTGTTGAGCTTGCTCCCGCTCCCGACGCATCAATTCTTGGACCCAGAGTTTAGCATTGCGTTCAAGCCCAGCTTGATACTGTTGTGCGATTTGCGGAGGATACGAGGCGGGCGGACCATACTGGGGCATCAGTCGGCTGGCCATTTCTTGTCTCAACCGCAGCAAGCGCTGCTGGTATAGTTGATTGTATCGCTGGGCAATGGTGACACCCTGCGTCATGTTCACGCCTTGCATATTCTGTGGTAGATGGCCTCCATTCGCCTGGGCCGCGGCCATCAGCATTTGCTGTTGTTGAGGGTTCAGTTGCGGGCCGTTCTGATGCATTTGGCCCTGTTGCCCTTGCGCTTGTTGCCCTTGTGACTGTTGTTGCTGTTGCTGAGCCAATTGCATCTGCGCGAGCTGTGCACGCATCAACTGGGCTTGGTAGGCTTGCGGATTGGGGAACTTGGCTTGCTGCTGTTGCTGCTGTTGTGACTGTTGCTGCTGCTGGAAGTGCATTTGCATCTGTTGCTGTTGCTGTTGGTGGGCTTGGATATTCTGCTGTGCATGCGCATTCGCTTGCATCTGGGTAACCTTCGGCGAGAACTGGCCGTGAAGCATACCCTGTTGGGCAAGAAGTTGATTCCTCTGCTGCATAAGCAACTGTTGCTGCTGCTGGGCTGTGAGGCCCATCCCGTTGCTCATTTGAGGGGTCGTCATCATGGTAGCCTGATTCAGAACTGGGGTAGGTGCCATGGTCGAATGGCTCGGACTGGCATGGCTCATCCTCTGCGTCGGTGTTACATTTCGCATGATAGGCGTAGCATGGGACATGGCAGGAGTGCCTTGGGTCATCTGTGGTGTTCCGTGTCGGCTCTGTCCTTGTTGACTTCTTGAAGCTGCCATTGGATGGCTCATGGCGGGGTGCGCGTGCTGTATCACCGACGGTGGTCTCGAAGGGCTTCCAGCACCCTGCATAGAAGACGTCATACTCATAGGAACCCCAGCTTGCGTTGTCCTTGTGCTGCCAACGACAGGTGATGATATGTGCTGAGGTGTCTGGTTGCGGACCACAGGAGATGACTGTGGCGCTTGACTGACACCATTTGATTGAGCCATGGCATGTCGAGTTTGTTGCTGCGCTGCCAATTGTGCCTGAGCTTGCTGCGCCGCGAGCTGTTGTCTTCGAGCTTCTTCCTTGGCATGCTCCTCGGCTTGTCGCTGTTCAGCAAGACGGCGTCGCTCTCTCTCTTGCTCCTGTTGCTGTCGCTTGGCCATCTCTTGCTTGACCTTGATCTCATGGTCTCGCTTCGCCTTCTCTTCGTGTTGCATACGGATGTTCTCAAGCGTTTTGAATCTTGAGAAGCGTGGCTCAAACGGCGCGCCACCGCCGGTGTCATCGATAACAGCTGATTTTGGCCCACTGGCACCATTGGAGGTAGCTGGCTCCAGACGCTCATCCATGATGAGCATGAAACGCTCTTCCTCCGCTGCGAGAGCTTCATCAGCGGCAAGTTCGGCCACAGTCCGCTTCCTACGCTTGGGTGACGGTGGTGGATCGCAATGAAGCGGGCTTTCCATGTGCTTCAACAGATCATGAACTCCATCAAGACTACTGACGGACTCAAGGTAGAGAGGGGGAGCCAATGCTCTCGTCAGCCTGGCTTCACACTCTAAGAGATCCTGAGGTTCCACCAGCATCTTCTGTTTCTTCGCTGGAGGGGCACGATCTTGCAGTGAATTGGCGGCCGCCCCCGGCCCGGGGGAAGACGGCGCTGTAGATGACCCCTGCGGTCGAGATGTCGAGCTGGTTGCCGTCTGCTTGGCCGCCTTTGGATCAGGTGTAGTAGCGAGAAGAGTCAGCTCGGCTTGAAGCGAACGGGGTGTAGGATGTAAAACAGTGGTGAACACTCGAGGTTTCGAAGGTTGTTTCGACTGGTTGAGTTTCGAATCCTTCTGCGAAGCTTGCGAGTCCGAGTTGCCGGGCTGCTCACTGCCCAACTTGACATCCTGCTGGCTTTCCGAAGCCGCCTCCTTTGCGGAAGGCTTCTCCGAAGTTAATTGATTCAGCTTCGGATAGGGCACATAGGCAGATGGTGTGACGTGCTCGTTGTAATTATGTATAGAAAAGGGGGTGTTGTTGTCATTCGATGACGGCACGCTTGACTTCCGAGTCTGCTGCGACACCGATTTGTGATCCACCACGCGGACAATTAGACAGCCTGCTTGTCGCGTGATTAGTTAGCCGAGCACCTATCAAATGTGCCGTATAGGGGCAAGAGCCTGCCTTCATAGAACCGAACATTGGCCCGCAACAGCTCCTCTATCATGTCATGAGGAACGGTTTGAGAGCGGATATGTTCAATGATGACCTTCATCTCCGAGTTATAAGGAAAGCTCCCATCTTGCTGCTCAAAGCGGAAGTGGGTCGGATGAAGGTGGAGAATCAGGGAGGGAGGGTGCTTGGAGAACTTCTTGAGGATATATGACGTGGTTTTGACTATCGGAAACGCGGATCCACGTGTTAGTATAACTCTAAGCGCATTCATCGAGGCTACCGCGGAAGCTCACCGAAGGGCTCTGGACACCGCTTGCCGGCTCGACGATCACTGTCAATTGATGAGGCCCTTGAGAATGGCTTCTGTAACCGCCCGGCCTGCTCGCCGGCCTTTTGCGCCTCTTTCTTCGTCCGGTTCTGGGGGCCTTTGTTAGACGGTGCGCCCGTGTGGGTTGTGCCATTGGCGCCATTCGCCATCGGTGCGTTCGTGGAGCCTGCAGCAGCCGGTGTTGCAGATCCTGGAAGGTGCTTTGCTGTAGAAGAAGGGGAGGTTGAGGATTGTTGGGGCTTGACACCGTTCATTCCGGTCTGAACAAAAGGCGGGGGAGGCCGCTTCATCTTAGGGGGATGCGAATTGGGCTTGGAGATTGCCGTCGCCATCCTGCGAGCAGGGTGCTAGCGACGCGACTAGAGGCGACGACGAGCGAATGCGACTGCGCGTTATGGGGGAAGCCGGGTGCGATGGAGGAAGGCCGTGAGTCGTCGTCGTCGATGGATACAGCCGGAGCGCGAGACATGTGGGGAGCGGAGGTCGGAGCGGCACGACAACGAAGGGGCCGGGATACGGACACTTGAACACAACGCGGAGTCGCTACAAGAAGTAAATGGGGGAGTCCATCGAACAGACACCTGCAGAAATAGCAGGGGAGGTTCGAGAAAATTATATCGGGAGGGGAGGGTGATTTCAGGGCTGACCGTTTGGCTCTCTGCGTCAAGTGAGAGGGAGTTCGGTCCAGCCCAAGGCCGCGGACGACGTGAAGGAGGCTGGGTCATGTGATATCCGCATCGGGTTAGCGCCGATTGGGGGTTCCCTCGATGATGCCTGTTTCAATGATACTTCAATCGATCTACAAAAAAGACTCATGCAGGAGCATGAGGGCACTGATAGCATTGGTTATGCTGTACTGTATATATTCACATGAAAGCGACCAACAGAAAGAATTCGCACATCATCATGGCAGGGGAATCAAACGCAAATGCAGAGAGTCGTCAAGCAGGGAATAGGGCGGGTAAAGCTGTAGACATACGAAGTGTCCATGCACTTCGCCTGTTCCAGTAAAACTGGCAGAGCCCGAAAGCTCTCTAATCAAACCCAGATACTCGTCGTCGCCAATCGTCGCCAACCCGAAGCGCATCGACCACGTCGATGCGCTTACCGAGCCCGGTGGTGCCCTCCTTCTGCCACCATCTCTCGCCCTTGTCCGCCAAAGCCGACTCGTCATCGCTGTCGATCAGACCGCCGCGGCCACCTTCGTCTCCAACCACGACAACCACCTGTCTAACCCAGCCGGAAATGTGATGGACCGCCTCTCCGTCTTTTCCAGCCAAAGACTCTTGAACATACACAGTATCCGGGGAAATGTGTCGCACAAGATGCACAAAGCCAGTGGTAGTGCTAAAGGGCATGATGGTGTTTGGTTTCTCAACAAGAGCCTGAGCTTGCGTGTACAGTGTGCGAAACAACGGGGTGGTGCCCTCGTGCTCGTCCGTCGCACGAGACTCGCCCGATAGTTCACGGCCAGGTACCTCACCCGGCGATGTTGCTTCCTCCGGAGCGATATTGGAATAGGAAGAGGTGACCGACAGGGTAGGTGGAGAGGAGCCGCCTTGGCTAGGGGCATGCTTCAAGCCTGGCGCATAGATCATAATGAAAACACGGGTGGTGTCGAGATTGACATGTTCTGGAAGGTGGGAAAGGATTGACTACAGGTACATTAGCGTGATAGGCTCAAATCATGGTTGCACTGCAGAACATACCGCATGCTGCGAGATAATCTCCTCAGGATCAACCCGAGGAGTTTCAGAGGACACCACAATCGCGATAGTCTTCCTCTTCTTCTTATCGGTGAGGATAGGGCCAGAGACGGCCTCGCGGGTCGTTGGCGCAGCGCGGGCCGGCTGTTCTCTCTGGTTGGCTCTGGATTCTACTTCTTCCGACCACCGTGAGTGGTCTTCAAAGTCTCCTCTATCCTCCTCCCGGATCGATGTGAGAGCTCCGCCGACGAAGGCTCCGGCCGCGGCCATTCCCGCAGCGACTCGCTTGCTGGCGCCGTCAAGTATCTGCTGGGGGCTGGGTGTGCGACGCAAGGCTCCCTGCATGCGTGCCATCATGCTGGCATCTTCGGGATGGCCACCGTGGACATCTGTTGCTGTTGAGCGAGCATACATTCCCTCGTAGTCGCCGCCAGCAGGATAAGCCTCGCTGCCAGGGCCGGGGGCGGGGAAAGGTTCCTCGTCGCGGCGGCGATCGCGGTCATTTTCGTCATCGTCATCTTCGCTGCGTTCGCTCCAAATCCAGGCGGCAATGCCAACGGTCGCGATGCCTACAGTCAGGGCAAGTGGCACCCAATAACCCAGGACGGTCCGTCTCCCTGAAGAGCTGAAACCCGTCCCGGCTCCGACCCGCCGACGGCGGGCATCCTGGGAATACGGGAAAGACATCGGGATGGTTAGATCAATGAGAAGAGACACGTAGACTCAGAAAAGTTCCATTTAGCTGAGCATCACATTTCAAGCTTGAGGGGGAAAAGGGGCAGGCGTCAGGCAGGGTAAGTGTTGGAATGAGAAAGGGAGTGAGAGTAAGAAGCCGCGCGCGGGCTGGCCTCGGAGGGAGCAAGAAACATGTGGCTGGTGATGCTGGATTAACCGCGGGATGTTTTTGGCCAGTAACAGTAACAGATAACTACGGTATGGTAAACTACTCCGCCGGTGGGCGGATAGTGTGGAGGAGCAGCGATACTATGAGTAGCAACAGCAATCCGGGGCGCGAGGTTGACCAGAGATGCTGTCCTGAAGTTTGCGACATTCGCACTGTTTGCATTGTATGCAGCTGCCGCAGCCCGACCCGCGATTGCTGAGTCAGTCGATGCTATCGGCGCATGCTGGTGGGATTTTGGTTAACAAGCGACCCTGACTCAAAGACCAAGCAAGAAGGAGTCTGATGATCTCGAGCTCGTCGACTTCTTGAACCCTTTAATACGCGGCTCAGACTAGACATGATCTAGAAAGCTTAAGTTTCGATTCTATAAAACGCCTTCCTTGACGACGCCTGATACCCAACACTACCTTTCCCCTCCACCCCGCGTCAAACTTCCGTCGCAAAATTTGTATGGTTGACCAGCCGACTCTGTGATCCATACATCCTCTTCGAGTTCCCCGGACTTCTAAATCACCACGGATTTTGCACCATATCAATATGCCGCACTCGGTTCCAGTGCCCAATACGGGCATTCAAGCCCTCATTCTCTGTGGGCCTGGTGTGAGTTCGATCAAAGGAAACAAGGAAGCAAGCACTTTACTGATTTGACTCCCCTTTTAGGTCAGTTTGAATACCTTCACCTCGAATGAGGACTCTCCCAAGGCTCTTGTTCCGATCGCCAATAGGCCGATGATCTACTACCCACTTGACTGGTGTTATCGCATGGGAATTACAAGTCAGTAACTGCCGTCAATTGCGCTAGGATTGCGCCCAACAGTCTAACAATGCCAATCCGATGTAATAGATATCACAATCGTCACTCCTCCGGAGATCAAACAGCCATTAGAAAGTGCCATGGGTACAAATCCATACTTGACCTCCCTTCCGTCCCCTTCGCCGTCAATCCTGTCGCCGCCCGACTTGACCATGACCACCGGAACTGCGGAACTGCTCCGCCTCCCCGAAGTCCAGTCGTGCATCAAGTCCGACTTTCTGCTCCTTCCCTGTGACCTGATCTGCGATATTCCGGGAGAGTCTTTCATCGAAGCATGGATGGCACAAAGCGCGCTAGGGGGCTCCGATGGACCGAAGACCGTTGGATTGGGAGGTGGCAGTCCTCGCGGTGGACTCGCAATGTTCTACCAAACCAAAGGTCAGGAAGAGAGCGTTAAGGGTGAGGCCACAGACTTCGTGGCTACCGTTCCGCTCGAGGAAGATGAGGCACCAGCTGTGTCTCACCCCCTGGACGGACCCGCTGCGCTGCGGTTCGGACTGTCCAAGCTGGCTCTCTCAATGCCGATGGACACATTGAAGGAGAACATGCAGGAGCAGAAGGGCTTGCTCATTCGGCACTCTCTGGTCAAGAAACACCCCCGGATCAAGCTTCTTACCAGCTTCCGAGACGCAAATTGTTATCTTTTCCCGTACTGGGTGTCCCAGTTTTCGCGTCTCAACGAGCCATTCGAGAGTATCAGTGAAGATCTTGTGGGATGGTGGGCAAAGGCAGGGTGGCAGACGGGGCTGGGAGAGAAGCTTCACTTGCGAGAGATCCTCCAGCCAGAAAACAAGGGAGAGAGCGGTAGTCAGGATGGAGACTCGCTGGAGGATGAGATCGATCTGAACTCCATGATCTCTACGAAATCGGGGGCTGCCGTCGCTCGCGAAGGGGCCTTCTCCGACGATATCCAGTTCGCCTCCCGCGTTCAGAATCCTGATGCCAAGGACGCAGACAGCGCAGAGCCCCTGCATGTTCCTCCGATCCTGGCATACATGCACTCTTCCAAAGCGTCAGCGCCATTGGTCAGACGCGTGGACAGCTCTGCTCTGCTCCTCAGCGTATCGTTGAAGCTGGCAAAGCTGGAAGCAATCGAGGAAGTTGGCCGCGTCGCCGCCTCTCCTTTCGCCCATAACCAGAAGATCAACGGCACATCGAATGTGGCGCAGAGGTGCACCGTCACCAAGGCTGACTGCTTGATCGACATGAACACCACCATCAACGAGAAGTCGGTGGTCAAGGAGAGCGTCATTGGAGCCAACTGCGTGATTGGAGTTGGCGCAAGGCTGACGAGGTGTCTAGTCATGGATGGAGCCGTCATCGGAGAGCGTGCTCAGTTGTCCGGCTGTATCATTGGCCGCAGAAGCAAGATCGGACGCGAGTGCGTCCTCAAGGACTGCGAGGTCCAGGACGGCAACGTGGTTGAAGATGACACTGAAGCGAAGAACGAGAAATTCATGGTATTCGAAGGTCTAGATGACGATGAGGATATGGCTGGAGGGGACTATGAGGATGATCAGGATGACTTCTAGGTGAACAGCGCTTTGGCAGAAAGCGATAAAAGAGCAATAGAAATACTAATGATGTGATGACACTTTGGATGTCTGACGAGAAGATTTATTTGTTCTTTTTAGAATTATTAAGTCAGATGTCTCTCAGATATGAAGAAAAGAGAATAAAGAAACAAACTGGAACTTAAAGAGTTAACATCTTTGCGTAAAGAAGATTCAATCCTGACAAAAGAGAGGAACCAGAGCCAGAAACTGCTGCCTAAGCTGAACTGATGCGGTGGTTGTGGAGTGAGTGAGTGAGTGAGTGAGTGAGTGAAGTGAGTGAAGTGAAGTGTACACAAAAAGTGCACCAAACAAATGGACTGAGGTATTAGTATGAGGAAGGTGCAGTGCAGTA